CAAGGTGTTTAAGGACAGAAAGCACTTGTGTTACACCTGATCTCATAAAACCAGAAGAGGAAAAAGAAAATTTCACATGACTTTCAGGATAATTCTTCAGAGAATAAAATCCAATCCAGGAAAAGTGAAGGTCAGTACCTGAATAATCCAGATAATTCCTTTGACTCTTGGTGATGTTTTCCCATGATTTATAAATTCTACAACACTTGTGTGTAGTCTTTGATTTTTCTCTGCCTTCCATGACTATGTTCTTTCTTTCAAAGTGCATCAAAACACCCTTGTGGAAGAGCATTCAGGTAGCTCAGTGGTAAAGAATCTGCCTGACAATGAAGGAGACAAATGCAGGAGATGCAGGTTTGATTCCTGGGTGGAAAAAAATCCCCTAGAGAAAGAAATGGCAACCCACTCCAGTATCCTTGCTTGGGAAATCTCATGGACAGAGGAGACTGGCAGGCATGACCATGGTGTTGCAAACAGCCGGACACAATTGAAGTGACTTAGCACACATGCACACAGTGTTTTCCAGGAGATCTTCCAGCTGTTTCATGCATCATATTGTATCTAACCTTGGCCTTAGCCTAAGAGGGTGGGTAGTGTTGCCTTGGAGGGGCCTCAGGATGCCCATAGTCTGCCCAGGTAGCCTGGAATGGGTGGGGAGCGCCTGCTCCTGGGCCTGTCCTTGGATCAAGTGTCTGTGAGCTGTCAATGGGGAATCTATCACCCACTGGTGGGATTGCAACAGGCCAAATGATGTGAAAATCACAACACAAAACAATGCACTAATTAAAGGCACATAAGTCATCAATGTGATCTGGATATTCTTTCCCTGCAGGACTATTTACAAGGGAAATCACTTCGCAACAAGAAGATCCTTGCAAATATATGATTAGCACCTTCCAGTTTCTCTGGAAAGAAGTGGAAAACTCAAGAAACTTTGAGAATGACACTGTAAATCCACTGATTTGTCACAGTCTCTTTTACCCTTTGGACCAATATTCAGCTCTCTAATCCCCTTGCTACAACCATCCATAATACTTGGTTTTCTATCTCAAGATCTTCCCAAATGTTTACACAAAACATCATACACACATTTCCATATTTTTATCAGAATAAGATTACTAATACATTGCTCTATGTAATTTTATTTCCACTACATGTGTCACAAACACATTTCCAGATATGTACGAGCAGGTCTTCTCACTTTTTTNCAAATGTTTACACAAAACATCATACACACATTTCCATATTTTTATCAGAATAAGATTACTAATACATTGCTCTATGTAATTTTATTTCCACTACATGTGTCACAAACACATTTCCAGATATGTACGAGCAGGTCTTCTCACTTTTTTTCAGCTTCATATAATATTCCAGTGTACAGATGACAAGAAAGCACTCTTTTACCCCTTTATTAATAGTCATCTGTTTGTTACACTGCCTTCCCTGCTGAAGGGCCCTGAAGAGCCCTGCATTCCCGCTGGGCCCTCTTTGTCTTTTCTGGCTGCACTGAAGGACCTTCCCATAGAGGGAGCCAGCACACCCTCCTTCAGGTCTCTGCTTCAGTATCACTTCCTTTTTAAAAAAAATAATTTTATTTATTTGTTTGTTTGTTTGTGGCTGTGCTAGGTCTTCATTGCTGCATAGGCTTGTCTCTACTTGCGTAGAGGGGGGGTTGCTCTCTAGTTGCAGTGCATGAGTTTCTCATTGCAGTGGCTTATCTTGTTGAGCATAGACTCTAGAGCATCGGGCTTCAGTATTGAGCCCAGCATTGAGGCACATGGGCTTTTTAGTTGTGATCCCTGGGCTCCAGAGAACAGGTTCGATAGTTGTGGCACATGAGCTTAGCTTCTCCGTGGCATGTAGGATCTTCCCGGGTCAGGGATTGAACCCGTGTCTCCTGCATTGGCAGGCAGATTCTTCTACCATTGAGCCACCAGGGAAGCCCTAGGTATCATTTCTTTAGCAAGGCCTACCTCTTTCATCCATAGACTATCCTGTTCCCTATCTCATCACTCTTCAATCAAGAGCTGACTTTCTTTGTCTTAATAATACTTATGATTACATGAAATCACATCACCTGATTGACGACCTCCTTTAAGGGAGTCCACGAATCAGTGACTTCAGCTGATACTAAACAGATGTTCAATATACACTCAATAAATAAATAAATGAGTGAATATATTTTTACTACCTCTGCAAGTATTGCATTTCCTTGGATTGGGATTGTTGACATAAAACTTAGGTAAACACAGCCATATTGTCCTAAAATTGTGAACACATTTGTATTCCTCATCAGCAATGCTCCAGAGTACCTATCTCCCATAATCTGGCTAATATGGAGTATTATCACTTAAAAAATCTTCCCAAGTGAGATGAGTGAAAAATAACCATCCCATAACTAACTTACTTTGTATTCCTTCAGCCATGTGAAATATGAAACGTCTTTTCAAATTTTTATTGGCCATTTGTATCTCTTTTTTGGTCAATTGTTTATTTCTATGGTACCTACAATTACTCTGTATTAACATACAATATTTAAACTAAAACACAGCTTTAAACAAAATAATTTTAAATATACAATAAGAATATGAATAACTTGCTATGTGCTAAGCACTGTTTAAGGAATGATTCATATATCACCTCATTTAATCCTCTCCCAAGCCCCACGGGGTAAATACTTTTATTATCTACATCTTATAAATGATGACCCTGAGGGTATCTGAGGCACTGAGATTTCCCAACGTGGCACAGATGGAAAGAGCAGTCTGGCCCTTCACACATGATGCGCTAATAGAAGTTACCATCTGTCTGTGAAATGAGATATCATGAATCTTCTCATGAATCTAGGTCATGGTAAGTACTCTGTAACAATTGACCAAACTCACTTCCTCGCATGTGGCTCTTTTCATATTAACCCAATTGTTTAGATAGAACTGGCAGTGTAATTTGCAGGGCCCAGTGCAAAATGAAAATGCATGGCTCCTGTTAGAAAGTTCAGAGTTTCAAGATGGCAACAGCAAGGCAGTAAACCAAGGGGCCCTTCTCAGCGCAAGGGCATATGTCTATGCAGCTGTCCCAGGGTATCGTCCACAGTTCTGACAGAAAGAAATCAACACAGAGAGAGAAAGTAACTGTGCTGAGAACAGAGACAGGCCTAGCCATTGAATCCAGGTTTGTCTGATTACAAGGTTAGGGTATGTCATTGTTGTTTGGTCACTAAATTGTGTCCAACTCTTTGTGACATGGACTGTAGCCAGCCAGGCTTCTCTGTTCGTGGAATTTCCCATCCAAGAATACTGGAGTGGGTTGCCATTTCCTTTTCCGGGGGATCTTCCTGATCCAGGGATTGAACCCGGGTCTCCTGCACTGGCAGGTGGGTTCTTTACTGCTGAGACACCAGGGAGGCCCTCTCCTTGTATAACGCTGAGTTATGTACCTGCTCAAATTGTACCCATGGAGTTTATCCTACTTGAGCTGGAAGGAGGATGGAAAGAGATGAAATATAAATAGGACACTTTTCCAAGGGATGAGAAGAAAAAGCGGAGCGGTCTTATCGCCTGTGATTCTAGACGTTGTTGGGGCCCAGGGCAGGCTGCCCACTAGTAAGTCACAAGGGCATATTGATTACTTTGAATTGAAGTCATTTAAGAAACAGCCAATGCAAGAGAGACACTCTGAGCCTCCTTTCTGTCTCTTTGAAAGCAGAAAATAAATCTCCTCTGTAAAAGGTGTGCTCCCTGTGTCTGAAGGTAGAAGGGCATCCTTATTACCAGAGATAGGGCATTTGGTGTTGAGAAGCCTATATAAACAAACCTTGTACTCTTTTCATTTACCATCCCAAGCCCAAACCCTTTAGATTCTTCACTAACTGGGCACCCAAAGCCCAAGTTTCGTTATCCTGTCCATTCCTCAGAAATGTATTGCTTATATCTAAAAAGTATAAACTCTGCCTGCGTTGGCCACTTCTTACATACTTCTTAGGTCCCATTTGTATGGATGTGTGGGTGCACAAATTAGTTTATTTTTCTCCTGTTAATTTAATTTAATTATTAGTCCAACTGTGAGAACTTAAAGATGGATAGAGAGAGAAATATCCTCCTCCCTGCTAGTCTCAAGTGACTTAGACTCATGGCATGACATACTCAGACCCTGGGCGCCTGGGAGTTTGAGTGGGTGGGGGAGATGTCTGAGAAGCAGGGTCCTCTGTGTTGAAGAGCAGGTCACACACATTTAGAGACAATAACAGGGAGAGAAGGCAGGAATAGATTTAAAGAGTAATGGAGCCTGGACTTGGAAGCCCTATGATGCCTGAAGAAGCAAGAAACTCTTCCTTATCAGACATTTGGCAACAGGAAGTCAGTGAGAGAGTCTGAGACTGCTTCTATGTGAGTGTCCCTGTGTAGCCTGTGTGAGTCTAGTATTTTTGATGCAAAGTCTGTTTTTACTATGGATGCCTACCACATCCTTCCTCTGTTTTTGCTGGCCCTTATCCCCTGGGTAGCGGATGTAATTGGTGTTGTGGTGATCCAAGCCTTTCCGGGATATTGGTTGGGGCCTTCTCTTTGCTCTGTGGTTGTCACAGCCCTGTCAGGGGCAGGGTCTGCTCCTCAGTTGTTGGTATAAAAGCCCCAGATCCGCTTCTAAGCTGCGGTGTGAGGTGGGCAGGATGGGCAGGCTCCTGCTGTTAAAGTAGCCGCTGAGTACTCCTCTGCAGGGGTGTCCACCAAGAAGTGTGCTCTCTATTGTCACCCGTCCCCCTTCGTGTGCACTCACAAAATACACTGTTGTTGGCACTGCTCTCAGCACCTTCTCAGCCGTGGGCATGCTGGCAATCAGCTCAGGTGCTCCAAAGAAACGGCACTCACAAACTTCTACTGCAAGGAAAACTAACCATTTAAATTATTTGAAACAGAGCAGTCACCACTTTGGCATAAATCTGTGAGGGGCACAGACAGACTAAAAGAATGTGAGGGGAAACAACCAAGTCAAGTGAATGCTGTGGAAATAACAATAATCTCTTTAATGACATAGATAAGGCCACTTCCCCTCTGCAGTCATTCCACCCGCCACCCCCACCATCCCCAAATGAGGCAGTTCAGGATGGCTGCACCAGGCTCCATGGAGACCATCTGAGGTCACAGGATCTCCACACCCAAGCGTACTCGGGACTCCTGCCCATCAAGACAGATCACATACCTCCAGGGCCTCCAGCTTGGCCTCCATCACAGGAAACATTTAAAATACCTCCCCAACTCATTGCACAAGTTAACTACTTCTTTCTCAGAAAAGAATATTTCCAAAATTCTCAAGAGCCACCAAAGAGGGTGAGCACAAAAAAGGAAACACGCAGGTCTTGCCTCATTGTCATGGTTGGTGCTGATCATTGCAGGGGGCTTTGCCCCCGGATCATCAGGGCACACACAGAAAACAGTCTGTGCCTCCTGCACTGTGAACACAATGGTTAGAGGACACGCGCTAGAGAGGATGGCAGGGCCTGTCCTCCCCAAAGCTGCTCCCATCCTCGGGGGCTGCTGACCCCAAGCAGCCAAACATCTCCTGGGAGGCATAGGTCATGTACACAAAGCCATCCTCGTCCTTGTAGTCCCTGTAGATCTCTGCCATGGTCACATTCATACTTCCCAGGCTCTTGTTGTTCACCAGCAAGTAAAAGGCTTCAGTGGCCCCTAGGACCATGCGGCTCCTGGGTTGAGGAAGAGGGTATGCAGGGGGCAGGAAGGGAAAAAGTTAACCCGGAAGGGAAAAAGTTAACCTGGAAGGGAATGATTGCTGACCCACAGCCTTCCTCATCTTTATTTGGCCAGTGTAAGCATATCTACCCAAGATGCCCCCACCTCCCTACTCCAGGGCTATTACCCTCAAACTTTAGAGTTACCTAGGAGAGTCCGGTTGAAAGTGGACTCCATCCCACAGATTTTGGTTTAGTAGAACTTGGAAGCAGCCCAGGCATCTGTGGGACCGTGAAGCAGGTAGAACTTGCCTGACACATTACTCTAGATGCACAGGCAGTCTAACTTCCACTCCTGCTGTTGCCCAGAGTTTTTCAAAGTGTCATCTATATCTATTTGCTTGCTTATACTAGTGACTATTAAAACACGAATTTATATCTGGTCATTACTTTTTTTTGGAAAATTTTTATTTCTTTATTTTTGTCTGTACTGGGTCTTTGTTACTGTGTGCAGGCTTTCTCCAGTTGTGGCAAGCAGGGGCCACTCTCTAGTTGCTGTTCATGGGCTTCTCATTAAGGTGATTTCCCTTGTTGTGGAGCACTGGCTTTAGGGCACTAAGGTTTCAGCAGCTGGGTTGCACAGGCTTAGTTGCCCCAAGGCATGTGGGATCTTAGTTCCCAGAACAGGGGTCAAACCTGCGTCCCCTGCTTGGCATGCAGATCATTAATTACTGACCACAAGGAAAGTGAAAAGTCCCTACTTAACTTTTTTATATACAACTTCAGTCTTTGTTCCATTTCATTCCCTAATAACTGATAAACTGAGGCACAGAGGCTAAAGAATCTGATGGAAGCAACCCAAGTGTCCATCAACACATGAATAGATAAACAAAACATGGTCCATCCATAAATGGAGTATTAATCACCCTTAAAAAGGAAGGAAATTCTGACAAGTAAATGCTACAACATGGATGAATTTTAAGGACTGTATGTTCAGTGAAATAAGTCATTCACAAAAGGATACCATATGATCCCACTTACATGAGGTATCTAGCAGTCAAATTCATAGAGATAGAAGGTAGAATGCTGGTTTTCAGGGATTAGGAGAAGGAGAGGATGGGAAAATCAGTTTTTAATAGGGACAGAGTTTTCCTTTGGGAAGATGAGATGGATACTGGTAATGGTTGCACAACAGTGTGAATGTACTTAAGGCCATTGATCTGTCCACTTACAAATGATTAAAATAATATTTTATCACAATTAAAAATATAATAATAAAAGAAATCAAAGAATCTGCATATCATAGTGCTCTGTCTCTCTGCAGTAAATAAGATAAATTTATTAGAGACTGGCTAAAAGATTGTTCATTTTTCTGGAGATTTGAAATGTCTTCTAACTCATGGATGAGCTCAGACTGTGAGACCATCTTATCAAAAACTAGAAAAAATATTGTTAGCTCAAAAATGCTAAGTAAATATGCCTCAGTTTGCTATGAATTTTAAGTTAAGAATTTCCTGAGTGGTGCAAAGAAAACACATAACGCTGTGTATATTGACAAGTCAGTTAAGCAGCTTTGGGGTGACATTTGAAAAAGGTTGTTGTTGTTTAGTTGCTAAGTTGTGTCCTACTCTTTGAGACCCCATGGATTATAGCTCCCAGGTTCCTGTGTCCATGGGGATTCTCCAGGCAATAATACTGGAGTGGGTTGCCATTTCCTCCTCCAGGGAATCTTCTGGACCCAGACTGCATTGGCAGGCATAGTCTTTACCACTCAGCAACCTGGGCAGGGATCGAACCCAGGTCTCCTGCAGTGCACGCAGATGCTTCACTGTCTGGGCCGCCAGGGAAGCCCGTTTGGAAAAGCATGACTATGCAAAAGTATAAGTCCCTCCCCTTGGGTTGTGGATGCAGAGGAACAGCCATGTTTGGCTAGATTCATAGGAGTTCTGAATTGGTTTAGTAGCAGAGCAAGATGAATCTGTTGGCAACGGCTTGCCCTGTCTGACCACCCTCCACCCAGACATTAGAGGCACAGACATTATACCCCTAATCTTAGCTAGGAGGAGCCAAATTTATGTGGTGGGTGGGAGAGGAAGTAGTTTCAGAATCTGATTAACTAATACTGGATAATCCAAAGAGCAAACCCTGACCATTGCACTGCTCTCGTGTGGTGAGCAAATGCCTGTTCTACATGGAAAGAATAGATCTGAAGATGGGGCTTCTATATTCCCACATTGCACCTTCATATCCTTTCTTCTTCCACCAGGGTCTCATTTTATTAAGGGTGAGGAGTCTCCAAGAGCAAAAACTCTAGTTTGAATGTTGTTTAGTGTAGGACTTTTGGTCTGTATTTTTCATTGCTCTTTGTGCAGTACCCAGCACAGTGCACAATACATAATGGGTGCTTAATATCAGTGTGTTTAATGGCTTAATGTTAAGATTCAAGCCATCTAAACATATTCATATTAAGCACCCATTATAACTTAATGTAAAGATTTGAGGGCTTCCCTTGTGGCTCAGATGGTAAAGAATCTGCTCGCAATGCAGGAGACTGGGTTCGATCCCTGGGTTGGGGAGATCCCCTGGAGAAAGAAATGGTAACCCACTCCAGTATTCTTGTCTGGGAAATCCCATGGACAGAGGAACCTGGTGAGCTACAGGCCAAGGGGACACTAAGAGTTGGATACAACTGAGTGAATAACATTCACACAAAGATTCAAAATTATTAGGTTGAAGGATGAACAGTGTATGACAACTGGAGGTGTACCTGTATGGAAAAAAGGACGAAGTTGGTCAAAACTCACTTTTTGTTGAAGCCACACTGTGCCCCAGGTGCCTGTAGGCTGACAGAGGAGGGGTCTATACCTCACTGTGGTTTTCCTCGAGTTGCTCCAATTTCCATGGATTAACCTAACCCTTAAGTAGGTCTGAGAAGAATGCAGGGTCTTCTGAAATAGTTCGTTTTTAAAAAAATCATAATAAATTCTCAGATGAAACTGTCTGCATCAGCCAAAACTTTTGAGAGGTTGTTTCCAGCACAGGGAGACTCACACACCAGCCATGGTTATGGAGCCCCTAGTCAGCTATTTTTGGTTTCATGTCATTTTTCATTGAGTCCAGCTGGCAGATGACAACTTCAATCCCTTAAGCTTCAAAGTCAGCAACACTGATTTTGCTCTACACATTCCCTTGTTCTGAATGGAAGAAGGATGTGCACAAGGTGTGGTTCTCCTGCTCAGTGATTCAGCAGGTGGACAGTGCAGTTTCCTACCCCAAATTCCCTCCCAGCCACAAGGGGGAAAATATTTAGACATAAAATGCTGTCATCGGGCTTTTAAAATAGCTGAAAACAGGGCTTTGGACCAGTTTCTAAAGGTTCCTTTGAAAAATTCTTAGAGAAATTTGATGGCAGAAATTAAAACACAGTACCAGTAAAATGTGTAAACAAAGGAAAAAATAGCTGATACATCAATATTGGGAGTGCTCTCTTATTTTAGGGCGGTAGCAAAATATTTGACATCGTTTTAAAATTGGTTACTCATGAGATCATCCTTTTTAAAGGTATAGTTGGGGCTCCCCTGGTGGCTCAGTGGTAAAGAGTCCAGGAGTCCGCCTGCCAACGCAGGGGATGCAGGTTCTTTGAGCCCTGGTCTGGGAAGATCCCACAAGTCGCAGAGCAACTAAGCCCCCACACCACAGGTACTGAGCCCGGCAGCCACAATTGCGGAGCCCACGTGATGCAACCACTGAAGCCCACACACCCTAGAGTCGTGCTCCGCAACAGGAGAAGCCACCACATTGAGAAGCCCATGCGCCAGAACTAGAGAGTAGCCTCAGCCAGCCACAACTAGAGAAAAGCCCACACAGCAACGAATATGCAGGACAGACAGACAGACAGACAGACAGACACACACACACACACACACACACACGGCATAGTTGAAGAGAAAGGGGAGGCACAAATCATTCTCCTTTGCTCTCTGCCACATCCCATCTCTCATTGATCCAAAAGCCCAAGACCACACAACACGCATCCCCACAGGCGCTTTGGTACCTACCGAATGACGCTGAGAAACTGCGTCATGGTCAGTTCCTGTGGGACCAGGAACTTGGTCTTGTCCAGCCGGGGCAGGAACTTCTCCCTGGGGTAGCGCTCCACTATCACCTGTCAAGGGTTTCAACCTGAATCTCTTCTGAAGCAAATGTCAAGGGATACACCTCAGCTTTCTATGTCTTAGGAACTTGGACTAGAGAGAAGGAGGTCATTGGCTGAGTTTGGGTTTTTCAAAGAATAGGGTCGCAGCCCCTCTCCCCCTAATCCCAGCCCTCACCCCACCTCCACTCCCCAGGACAATGGAGTCTTACCGGGATCTTGCCTGGGAACTTCACTCTGATTCCAGCAACTTCCTCTCTTCTGGTTGCTGTGAACATTTAAGATTAAATGAGCACATCAGCATATACAAAAGTCTGTACCTTCTCTTGCTGTCTCGAGGGCCAAAATCCAGACAGCTATTCTGAGAGCTTTACCTAAACTCTTCCTCTGCTTGAAAGGTCTGAGGCTTGGACTTTTCTGTGGAGTCTGCATTTTGCTCAACAGTTGTGTCTGCGTCTGCCTGGAAAAAAAAAAATCTCACCACCAGGACCTAATTCATCCTTCCAGCTGCTTCCAAACTGCCGGCAGGAGCCCAAAGGAGGCTTTTATGTAGGGCTGTGTGACATCAGCCTTCTCCAACCCTCCCTTCTCCCCATTCCCCCTCCCTGGGCAGGAGGAGGTCAGTTCTGAGAAAGGAAATGAAACAGGCACCTGGTTGCTGGTTAGAGAAAGTCACTTTGCTCACTACTATTTAAAAAATTTTGCTTTTGCTAAAGAAATTAAAACTTACAATGTCATTCATTGGTCATTGAGGCTTCCCTGGTGGCTCAGAGGTAAAAATCTGCCTGACATTGCAGGAGATGCGGGTTCGATCCCTGGATCAGGGACATCCCCTGGAGAAGGAAATGGCAACCCACACCAATATTCTTGTCTGGAAGATTCCATAGACAGAGGAGCCTGGCAGGCTACAGTCCATGGGGTGGCAAAGAGCCCGACACGACAGTGACTAAATCAAAAATCACTGGTCCTCCCTATAAATGGTCCTATGAGCCTAAGCTAAGAAGTTATGGATAGAAACAGTTTCATGTGAGGACATTGTAATATTACAGTAATTAAGCAAATTGAAGAGTGATTCACCTTATCCTGAAATATATTGCTATTTTTCAAGTAAGAAATATTAATAGGTATTCTCAAAAGGTTGAACAATTTGTCCAGATAAAAATATGTAAAACCAGCATTAAAATCCAGATGTGTAGCAAAGTAGTATTTCCAACATATTTTGTTCATTGTTTTACAGGTCTAGGAATGTGTGTAGAACACTGATTATTATTCTCAGGATGTTGCATTTAAAAGATGATGAAACTGAGATCCATGGAAACTGACTCAGTGGTCAAATGGACAGATGGACCCAGTTCTCCTTATTCTCAGATCAGGGTGTTTCACCTGGTTCCAGTGATTCAGCTTCCGCATTTGATGCTGATCACCTCCTTATGTTACATCCAGGAGCACAGTGGTCCCGCCATTTTATTCAGATATGTCCTGAGAATAAATAGGACCATTTGGATTTCTTCCACTGTCTCTGAAGGTACCATGATTTTCACTGGTCATCCCTGGTTCTGTTCCATGCAGGACATTGGACATTGAAGTCTTCAGCCTAGTGATGACGACATAGAGAAAATCAAACATTCTCTAGGTTTGTTGAGGGACACAAAGAAAAGTAGGTTATTCTGCTTTTTTATGGGCTTCCTTTGTGGTTCAGCTGGTAAAGAATCCACCTGCAATGTGAGAGATCTGCGTTCAATCCCTGGGTTAGGAAGATCCCCTGGAGAAGAGACAGCTACCCACTCCAGCATTCTGGCCTAGAGAATTCCATGGACCGTATAGTCCCTGGGGTCACAAAGAGTTGGACACAAATGAAAGACTTTCAGTACTTAAAACTTCTCCATTAAAACTTTTTTTTTGCCTTTTCTCCTGCCTCGGAAGCTAGGTAGGCTTCCCTGGTAAAAAATCCACCTGCCAATGCAGGAGACACAGGTTCAATCTCTGGGTCAGGAAGATCCCCTGGAGAAGGAAATGCCACCACACTCTAGTATTCTTATCTGAAAAATTCCACAGAGAAGCCTGGCAGGATACAGTTCATGGAGTCACCAGAGTCAGAAGTGACTTAATGACTAAAGAACAATAGGAAACTAGGACTTCATAAAGTTGCTGGACTCACTCTGAGTCCTTGAGTCCACAAGGAGGAAAGGGAACTTGGCCTCACTGGTCAGAAGGGTGTCTTAGAAGGCTTGTAGATCCTAGGGCCATTCCTCCATAGACAATGTCCTTCCCGGACTCTATGCAGGCATGGGAGTAGGTTGGGGCAATGACTAGAGGTGCTGGCATCCAGTTATGGCCTGACAGTCTTCCACAGAAACATGATTGCCTTGGGACCCTTTCCCCCCCCCCTTTCTTGGTTTTGCCTTCTTTCCCATCTCCACTAAATATCATCTAACCAATTTCTTAAGCTCTAGGCTTTCAAAATGCCTTTTTATTGCTCAAGAAGAAAGAATCTTACATATTTCATGTTAACTTTATGATATTTTTCTTTCCTAGATACTTACACTTGAGAAAAAGAATCATTATTAACATTTAATGGTTAAAAATCAGAGACATCACTTTGCCAAAAAGGTCAAAGCTATGGTTTTTCCAGTCGTCCAGTAGTCATGTATGGATGTTAGAGCTGGACCATAAAGAAGACTGAGAACTGAAGAATTGCTGCCTTTGAATTGTAGTGCTGGAGAAGACTCTTGAGAGTCCCTTGGAATATAAAGAGATCAAACCATTCAATCCTAAAGGAAATTAGTCCTGAATATTCATTTGGAGGACTGATACGCTGGCCCCCTGATGTGAAGAGCTGACTCATTGGAAAAATACCCTGATGCTGGGAAAGATTGAACAAGAGGATAAGGGGTTTGCAAAAGATGAGATGGTTAGATAGCATCACTGACTCAATGGATATGAGTTCGAGCAAACCCTGGGAGATAGTGAAAGACAGGGAAGCCTGTTGTGCTGCAGTTTATGGGGTCGCAAAGAGTGGAACACAATTTAGTCAAGTCCACAAGCTAAGTCAAGTTGAACTCTTTGCCATCCCATGGACTGTAGTCCCCCAGGCTCCTCTGTCCATGGGATTTCCCAGGCAAGAATACTGGAGTGGGTTGCCAGTTCCTTCTCCAGAGGGTCTTCCTGACCCAGGGATCAAACCCACATCTCTGGCATTACAGGCAGATTCTTTACTGCTGAGCTACCAAGGAAGCCCCCTGACTTTAATAGATAAACATAAAAAAGGCTGATTTTCACCCACATTGCACTCCAATCCAGGTAGGAGACTCCCTGTTTGCATTCCTTCAGAAGAAATTCAGGTGCACATGCTGCTGTCCACCGAAATCCTGCCGTCTCAAGGTCCTTTGTTTCCACAAGTTCAGATGAGAAAAATAGGTGTAAAAGACACTTTCACTCAGCCTTCTCAGACTTAAAGTGTTTAACGTGGTAATATCTCAGTGTTCACTCATATTCTATTGATGAACATTAATCATATGACCATACCTATAGAGAGGCCTCTATCATAATCACTACTTTCTCTAACATAATGATTATATTCCAAGCAATTACTATGTCCTTTATTAATTTTACATTTTAATATTCCACAAAAATAGCATGCATACTATTTGGTATATATGTATATATACATACATACTTGGAAAAGTAAATGGCAACCCACTCCAATATTCTTGCCTAGGAAATCCCAAGATCAGAGGAGCCTGGTGGGCTACATCCATGGGGTCGCAAAGAGTCAGATACAACTTAGTGACCAAAACAACAAGAAGCAAAAAACATACCACTTGGGTCTGAACTCTGGATCTTTTACCTACTAGCTGTGTGACCTTGTGGCAATTGACACAACCAACCTTTCTCTCTGCCTCAGTTACCCTGTGTGCAAAATAAAAATAATATCTAACTTGGGGGACTGTGAGCATCAAATGAATTAGTTAATATATGAAAACACTTACAACAATGACTTGTACATATAACTCAAAAAGTATAAGTTAATGTTGTCACCATTTAATTGATGAACAGCTTGAGGATCAGAGGGGTAATGGTATTTGAAAAAGACAAGGTCAGTCTGGACGACAGACTTGGTTTATCAAGATCACAAATGTCTTCAACATCACTATTTCCCTCATTGGAATGGGCAGGAAGCACACATCGTGTTTGACACTGTACTTGCTAATTACTACCTATATTTTCTCATTTCTTCTGAAAAAGAGAACTGAAGCTCAGAGAAACAAAGTAACATGCTCTGGATTGCACAGGTGGTAGAATTTGAACAATACAAAAACCATGCTGCTAATGTGCTCTTGAATTTTTTAAGTTGAAAAGTTGTGAGTAGAAAATATTGTGCTCTAAGGGAAATATTTTCTTAAACATTTCTCTGGCAACCTCCTCATCTGCACAGTTCTTAAAGGGCCAGACACTGTCATTCCAGTGTACAAATCTTCAAAGTTCAAATCAAAATGAAGAATACCCCCTCAATACCTCCAAATGTAGGTATTAAACACTTTAAGTCTATAAATGAAGAATACCCCTTCAATACCTCCAAAGGCTATTTCTTCCTTTAGTGCCCAATACCATCACAGATGGTCTCTTCAGAAATCAAAAGATGGCATCCCAGAATAAAGGTGAGTAGGCTGCCTCCAGGTCCTATGGGGGTAAGTGTAAATGATTTAAGGTCCTGCCCCACAGATCCAAAAATCCATTGTCAAAATCTTTGGTCTCCTTTAATGAGACCAAATTTGGTCTCCTTCAAATTTTCAGGTGTTTGTGTCCTAAGGGAAAAAAATTAAATAAAACTTTTCTGACATCAGAGCATCCCATAGACACAGGGAAGTAGAAAGGGGAAAATAAGCCTAATATGAGTTTGGACCACAGTTTGAAAACCAGGTTAGGGAGGTGTCAGGCCTTGATGAGATCAGCCACAGAGGGAGTACCAAGCCCATTTTTTTTTTTAAGATTCTAGGCAAATTCTTGCTTCTGCAACTCTTATTTATTCTAATGTATGGGTTGGCACAGTGGTAGAGAACTCTGCTGGCTAATGCAGAAGATGCTAGAAATGCTGTTTGATCTGAGTTGGGAAGTTCCCTTAGAGGAGAAAATGGCAACCCACTCCAGTATTCTTGCCTGGGAAATCCCATGGACAGAACAGCCTGATGGGCTACAGTCCATGGGGTCACAAAAAGTAGGACAGGACTGAGCACACACACACAATACACATACTCCTGACAACACCTGTCATCCCACTGCCTCTTTACCTGTCTTCGTTTCACCCTCCCATTCAAGGACAATCAGGTTCCAAGTTCTAAAAAAGTTCCAAAGAAGAACCTGTCTATTTCTCTGGGAATATTTGCTGTAAGTACAACTTATATCCCATTAATACCTCTAGGGCCTTCCCAGATGACGCTAGTGGAAAAGAACCTGCCTGACGGTGCAGGAGACACAAGAGACGTGGGTTCATTCATTCCCTGGGCTGGGAAGGTTCCCCTGAAGGGGAAAGTAGAGACCCACTCCAGTATTCTTGCCAGGGGAATCACATGGGCAGAGGGACCTGGCGGGCTACAGTCCATGGGGCTGCAAGGAATCTGGCACAACTGAAGTAATGTACACATGCACTAACACCAGACACATTTTTCTTTTTCTGTATATGACACATAAACAGCTCTGGCTTATTCCTGTCAGACATGTCCCTCACAGTGGGGAAGACGAAGAGGTAACCAAGACACAGGACCTACCCTCACTGGGCAGCCACACTTGAGGCTTCCTTGTCTCTGTTCTGTGCTAATTGGGCCATTTGTTGCCTGGGTCTAATCTTCTCTACAACAAAAACGTGTCTGTAAAGCACCCTCACAGTAACGGCATCCAGAATGATTTATATCATGAAATGGAGTAAACTTTCCAAGGAAGGCTGTCAAATGTTTCTCCTCTTCTAGCCCCTTTCCTGTAATATCTTTCCTGTTACATATTTTTGTGGCTGGTAAAATTACTAAAACATTCCTCTTTGGGTTGAACAAATTAGCTTTCAAATCTTAATTACTATGAAATCTTGAGAGGAAGAATTTTCACGTTTTTTCAAAATGCAGTATAGAAATTTTTGATGCAACATTGTTTAAATACTGAAAACATTATCTAAATGTCATTAAGAAATAAGTTAATCATGACATGCATTTTATGGAGTTAAAGAGAATAATTAAAGGTAAACTAATCTATTTATGGAGAAGGAAATGGCAACCCACTCCACTGTTCTTGCCTGGAGAATCCCAGGGACGGGGGAGCCTGGTGGGCTGCTGTCTATGGGGTCGCACAGAGTCGGACACGACTGAAGNTAAAGAGAATAATTAAAGGTAAACTAATCTATTTATGGAGAAGGAAATGGCAACCCACTCCACTGTTCTTGCCTGGAGAATCCCAGGG